GAGAAATACAGTTTTATCTTTATGAGGCATACTGTGGATTCTGCCAATCTCAGCTGAACATGTTGCCCGTAAAGAACAAGGTAGCGGATCCAGTAGGAACAGACCCCATGGCGCCATCAGGGACGGAACGTGCAGAAGAGGCCAGGAGGTCGTTCACTTCTCCTGGTTGATGGTTCTGATCACTGCTGCCCAGTTCTGGAATTATGGGCCCATTTTGAGGGAACCAGATTCTGGCATTTATTTTTCTAAGGAATGTCAGGTGCACACATGAGTAGAGGAGAAGCAACAGAGGGGAAGAAGGTGAGTATCTCTCCAAGGGCCCAGAAAAGAAGAGGCTGAGAGGCAGGAAGAGACCTGCGGAGATGTTTTTAAGAGGGCCCACTGGTGGAGCTGTTTCAGTCCTTGTAGGCAGGGGTTTTGTGTGAGGCAGTTGGCCCCCAGGAGGGTAGTTCTGGTGTCAAGGGCAGAGACTCATTCCCAATGTGCACATGGTTCCACCAGTTGGTTAAAAGGGACCCCTGGGAACAGCCCCCATAGTTCCTCAGAGCCCTGGTTTGGGAATGCAGAGAAGGTTGGAACGGCCAGCTGGAAGGATACAGGAGTCTGCAGCCCTTATGTGTGTAACAGGCTTTCTCCAGTATCCTGGCTCTTTGCAGTAATCGCAGAAAGTACTGGTTTCAAAACTGTTTCCCATGTCGCAACTGAAAATTGAGGGGAAAAAAAAGAAAAGGGCGCCTGGGTGGCTCAGTGGGTTGGGCCTCTGCCTTCGGCTCAGGTCATGATCTCGGGGTCCTGGGGTCAAGTCCCACATCGGGCTCTCTGCTCGGCAGGGAGCCTGCTTCCTCCTCTCTTTCTGCCTACTTGTGATCTCTCTCTGTCCAATAAGTTAAAGAATTTGTTTTTCTTTAGAGACAATTTGGAGTCAATTTTAATAATCCTAAAAAGGCCCATCAGGTTTTTGTTTGCAAGTCTGAATTTTGTTCCACTCAGCAGGCTTGAGGGAAGATAGTACAATTGCTCAGTAGTATTTCCAGCAAGTGTTGTAGTGTCCCTGCAAAAACGTGCTGTTCCCTTAATACTTCTTAAGATATTCCTGTCGGGCCAGAGTCACCCAGTGTTTGGCCTGGCCCTCACCAACAAGTATGTGAACTAATTCCTGGAAATAAATTTGAATAACTGTTCACCACACCTCTGGGGATCCTCAGCCACATTGGGAAATGCTAACTGTGGCTCATGGTTCAGTCTCGAATGCAGGGAATTGAGGTTACTTGGAACCCCAAATGGGCCTCTTTTAACAGGTTCAGGAGAGGAAGGATTGGGGAGAGAATCTGAGGAAAAGGGACCTTCAGAGAAAGAATTAGAACTGGGGGGGGGTGGGTTCACAGGAGATGGGGATTGGGTAGAGGGAAAAGAGGAGGAAGCCACTGGAGGCCTGGTCTGAGCACCAGGTGGTGGCAGCTCTGGAGACAAAGAAGATGGGGGAGGGACCAGAGGATTGAAACCATTTTGACGCCTTTCAGTGGCTCGTCTCTGTGAATTCAGAAATGGTGTTTTGCAGAGAAGCACCATTAGGTCCTGATAGCGTTTGGAAATCTCCAAAATAGCCATTGAAGCAGGCATTAGTACTGGTTTTGACAGGCGTAGTCATGGCTGTTAAATTGAATGTTGATAAGGGTCAATTTGGGGAGATCAAAAGTTCCCCATAGTGACCATTGATGTTCTAAGTTCTTGTGAAGTTAGTCCATTTAGTTAGAAGTGCATGTGAGGAGTAGTAGTTTTTAAATATAACACCAGCGGATGCCACAAGATGGGGACAGAGGGTTACCCTCAAAGCATTTTGATGTCTGGGATCCCATTACTAAGCTTTTTCTTTAGAACAAAAAGAAATTCCTAACAGGAATTTCAGCAGGAACAGGTCAGTTTCAAAAGGAGTTGGTCTGAAGGCCAGCTCAGGTCCAGAGAGATGGGGTCTGGAGGCTGATGGTCAAGAATGAACTTGGAATCGTCTTTGGTGCAAAGAGGGTAGTTTCATCAAAGCACGGGGACAGGAGCCAGGGACAGGGCAATCTGCCCTGGGGTTGGGAGGAGTCGGCCGGTTGTATATTTTCAAGTTGAGGGGCACTTACAGATAGCATCAATCTCTAAGAAATTTGGTATCAACGTTTTAAGGACCTTGAGGGACTGGCTGTTACTAGCAAAAGGCATTTATTGCTGTGTAGTAAAAGCTTAGTCTTGAGACCTTTAAGTGTGTGTCAATGAGCCTTATACTTGGAGGATGATTGTTAATATACATCTTGGGGGGTAGAATTGAAGGGAGTTTCCTGAGGAATATTTTATATCTTCAAGGAGGTTAACAGGATCATTGAGGTAGGGCTAACGTTGAGCTAAGGTTGCCTTTTGCCCTTAGCGAAGTAGGAACATCGAGGCAGTGAGTTCCTAGAGGAATGTCACTCTGGCCGTCTCAAGGACTTGTTCGTAGGTTGCAAGGAAATTGGATTTTCCTTTTGCATTAATTCTCCACATCACTTCCCCTTGAGCAGTTGTTACCCTTAAATCTTACAGTTGCCGATGACGGAAGGTCTTCTGTGACTTCTTCCCGCTCCGCGGGGTTGTAGAGGTGTCCCCACCTGTGGGCCCCATTCAGTTGGCCAGGGACTCACATATAGAGAGAGCAGTTAAGAAGGCGGTGGCAGCTGCATCCAAGGGAGACCACAAGTACGGATCTGCCGTAGTGGAGAGGATCATCTGCTGGCTTGACCTAACGGCGCTGAAGGGGTCTTGGCACCAGGTGGAGAGACGTGGCAGTAAAGAGCAAAGC